CGTGGATTTATCTCTGGGCTTTCTATTCTGTTCCATTGATCTATATTTCTGTCTTTGTGCCAGTACCATACTGTCTTGATGACTGTGGCTTTGTAGTAGAGTCTGAAGTCAGGCAGATTGATTCCTCCAGTTCCATTCTTCTTTCTCAGGATTACTTTGGCTATTCGAGGTTTTTTGTATTTCCATACAAATTGTGAAATTATTTGTTCCTAGTTCTGTGAAAAATACCATTGGTAGTTTGATAGGGATTGCATTGAATCTATAGATTGCTTACAAAATGCTTTTAATAAGAGTTTCTTTTTTTTTTTTTTTTCACAAATCATTTTCTGGATCCATATTAATTTGTCTCTTATTTTCCCCCATACATAAGCAATCAGCCGAAGACAAAAGTATTCTTTTTTCAGCAAAAATATCTCCAGTCTTTATTTTTTCTCTCACCAGCAATGCATATCCTACTTGCTTTACACACTAAAATGCTTCCCTCATCATTTTTTAATATTACAATTTTTAACCCTTGAATATCTTAAAACAAGAAACCAGTAATTGAACTATTTGTTATATCATCATTTTCTGACTGGTAAACTTGAGAACATATTCCATAACTTCTGAAAACCTACACTTTTCTCATAACACAATTTCTCTTTAATGTGGAACAAGATGGGTGTTCATTAATAAACTCAAATCTTTTCTCCCTCCTCCCTGCCTTGGCTTGAAGTTTTACTAACTAAGGTTGAAGTGTCAGGCAAAGTGGGCTGTGTTTGTTTCAAGGACATGGTAAAAGTTAACTTCAGACTTTCTCCTAAGTATATTTTTGTTCTGTGAGAGTTAGAATTTTGAAGGAAGTATTATGTCATCAAGCTAGTTTTCTCTAACTACATATGCAAAAAGAACCAGTTTGCGAGTTTCAAGAGTTTCCCTTTAACCAGTTTTCTCCAGAGCTTGAAGACTAACAGTTTTAAAATTATGCTTTCACCTTATTTATTAGTGGCTGTGCTGGTTCTTCACTGGTGCCCAGGCTCTTCTCTAGCTGCGGTGAGCAGGAGCTGCTCTCTGCTTGTGGACCATGGACTCCTCACTGCAGGGGTTTCTCTTGTGGACCATGGACTCCTCACTGCAGGGGTTTCTCTTGTGGACCATGGACTCCTCACTGCAGGGGTTTCTCTTGTTGTGGAGCAGGGACTCTAGATAGCAAGCGCTCAGTAGCTGTGGTGCTCGGGCCGAGTTGCCCCACACTATATGGGATCTTCCCGGACCAGGGATTGAACCCATGTCTCCTACGCTGGCAGGCAGATTCTTAACCAGTGAGCCACCAGGGAAGCCCTGAAGAATAATACTGGTGGCCACACAGTGCTTGAAAAAAAAACCATCTTTCTTTTTTCATGGTCACAGTGTCACAGCTTAAGTTTTTCTAATGAACTAACCCTGAATTCCCCACTTTACGAAAGGCAACAAGAATACCAATCATACAAATGAAACACACACACGCGCACACCAGAAGACGGAACTGTCACAAAACCCTCCAGAGGATACAGAGTCCCAAACCGACATTTTCCAACACAAATGGGCCTTGACGGCAAATACACACCAGAACCCACTGGCAAGAACGCCCAGACAGCACTTAGTGCTAGAAAGGGAAGTCAGCCGGGCGCACCAACGCCCGTCGGACTTACTGGGTCTTTTTGTGGACCATGGACTCCTCACTGCAGGGGTTTCTCTTGTGGACCATGGACTCCTCACTGCAGGGGTTTCTCTTGTTGTGGAGCAGGGACTCTAGATAGCAAGCGCTCAGTAGCTGTGGTGCTCGGGCCGAGTTGTCCCACACTATATGGGATCTTCCCGGACCAGGGATTGAACCCATGTCTCCTACGCTGGCAGGCAGATTCTTAACCACTGAGCCACCAGGGAAGCCCTGAAGAATAATGCTGGTGGCCACACAGTGCTTGAAAAAAAAACCATCTTTCTTTTTTCATGGTCATAGTGTCCCAGCTTAAGTTTTTCTAATGAATTAACCCTGAATTCCCCACTTTACAAAAGGCAACAAGAATACCAATCATACAAATGAAACACGCACACACGCACACCAGAAGACGGAACTGTCACAAAACCCTCCAGAGGATGCAGAGTCCCAAACCGACATTTTCCAACACAAATGGGCCTTGACGGCAAATACACACCAGAACCCACTGGCAAGAACGCTCAGACAGCACTTAGTGCTAGAAAGGGAAGTCAGCCGGGCGCACCAACGCCCGTCGGACTTACTGGGTCTTGGCGGTGCTCAGCTTGTCCAGAGGTGTCTTTCCGTTCCACCAAAGAAAAGCACAGGTTGGCAGTCAGTGCCGAGCAGGGGAAAAAAACAGGCAGGATCCCCGAAACAAATGGTTTCAGCAGCAGTTAGGACTATCCCCTCAAACCTCTCCTGGGACCAGCAAGCCGCCAGCAGCGGCTCCTCACAGCCTTCCCTGCGAGTCTTCATGGTGGCGGCTCTGCTCCACCCCGCAGCCGGATATCGCGAGAGCTCAGCCTCACGTGGGCACCCGAATCGGCTAGCAAAATCTCAAACGCCAGTAAAGAGGCAAGGTTGATGGAAAAGAAAGTTTGCTTTATTTCAAAGGCCGGCAAACTAGGTGGGAGGACAGACTCCTGTCCAAAGGCCCACTCCCAGCTATCAATCAGTGGGCGAGAGTTTTTATAGGGTGAGGGAGCAACCACATGCAGAAACAGCACAGTCAGCTGACAGTCATCTTGAAATTGGTCATTAGTCGTCTGACCAGTGTTATCTTAACTGTTTTAAGTACAGTTAATCTTTAGTTCCAGGCTCAATTTGTTGCCTTTCTTTTGAGGCCATTTCTCAGAATTGTGGCAGCTTACATCATGGCTAGAGTCTGGTCATCCTATGGTTAACTTCTTCCACCTGGTGAGGGTTTCAGGATCTATGAGACAGCTCCCAGGATATGGTTCAGAATATTTTCTATAGTCCTTGAGAAGGAACTAAAAGTCCTTGACTTAATGATTGAGTTATTATTATTTAATCTTTTTAGACTGTTTTCCTTTGTTTCTGCATTTTCTTGCTTCTCTGATTAAACTTATTCTTTGGCTAAGGCTTTTCCACAGACAAAAGGTAGGCTGAGGACACGGCAGGGAAGAACCGTAGGGTCCTGCTCTGTTTCTTATTCACATGTGAATAAAATAGTCATCTTCCTCTCATTATAAACAATTTCAATTTAACAGAAGAAAGGTGGATTTTTGAAATAATCAGTTAAGTAACCGAACATAAAAAAAAAATAAAATCACCAAACATGACTACAAAATGTGAAGGGGAGCCCCAAGACTGCCTTAACAGAAGCAATCGGTAGAAACTGATCCTATTCTCTAGAGCACCTCCACTTCCCTTGCCCTGCCCAGGTGGGAAAGTAACCTGTTTTTATGGGTTGAACTTCTTAGGCCATTAAACCATATTCCAATGATTCTCCACTGGTATTTGTCACAGCAGCAACTGACCAAAAGGACATTTAAAAGTACATGCTTACTTGGAAATAAGCTTGGAAGGATTTTTTAGGTGTCAGCAATGATTTAACTGTAACTGGTAGGATTGTAGATAATCTACATTTGCTTTTTCTTCTTTTGCTGCCCATGCTGTGAGGCTTGCGGGATCTTAGTACCCTGCCCAGGGGCCACGGCAGTGGAGGTGCAGAGTCCTAACCGCTGGACTGCCAGGGAGTTCCCGATTTGCATTTTCTTACTGAGGTTTTCTCCTTTGTCCACGATCCCCTGTAGCAGATGCGTCCTCCCTAAACTCACTGACTGGCTCTAGGTCTGTGCGTGACTTGGTTGGCCAGTAGGATGTTAGCAGGCGTGGTGCTCACAGAGGTTTGGAAGCTCTGGCATGACCAACTTACTCTTGCTCTCGCCCCTTTGCTGCCTCCATGAGCCCATGCCCATTGGCAAATGAAAGTTGGTGCATGAAGCAGAGTTGAGACGCCCAATTTTCCCCCAAGATTGCCCTGAGGGTCAGCCAGTCCCCTGATCCTGAGTGAGCCCAGAGAGACCAGCAGAGTCTGGCACAGGCAGATCTGCCAACCTTTGGCCAGCGGTGACACCAACGGGAAGCAGACATGCCCCTAGCTTTTCGGGCTTCCTAACTCAGCCACGTGCTTTGCAGTCTGCTCCTGGCATGTCGAGGTTGTTGGCTGCTCGAGTTCATGTAGCCATAGGCAACTGGGAGAGCATCAGGGCAGTTGGAAGAAAGATCAACAACCAGCTCAGGTTCAAACCAAAGGTATAGTATAGAACTTGCCAGGNATGTCGAGGTTGTTGGCTGCTCGAGTTCATGTAGCCATAGGCAACTGGGAGAGCATCAGGGCAGTTGGAAGAAAGATCAACAACCAGCTCAGGTTCAAACCAAAGGTATAGTATAGAACTTGCCAGGAAATACTTCTGAATAGGTTAGGTTGGCAGAAAGTTTAACATCAGTATAAAAATGGAACCAATGTTCTAACTTCTGCAAGACATTGTGCCATGGTCTGGGAAGGTCACCAAGGACACACACCATCCCCCTCCTGGAACACACACTACAGTTGGGGACCAAACAATCTTAAGTTTTCATGGAGGATAAATGAACTGTATCTGCCTGTAACCTTTCTGACAGCCAGACACACACTGCCACTGAATACTGCACGGCTGGGGAGCGTCATTCCCAGGCAACCGAGAGTTTAATAAGAGGTAGTAGAGACAGAATCTTCCGGTCCCAGGCCACCTGCTGTCAGTCCCAAGATGCTCACTTTGGAAGCTGACAACCTGAGTGAATGTCAGGGCATGGAGATGCTCAGACACGGGGCACAGGCTGGTGCAGTGATGTCTGCCCACGGGTACCTTCCTCACCCTGATGCCTGCACATCACAGAATGGTCTACCTCCCCAGCCCACCCAGCAGCCAGCACCCTTGTGTGTTCATCCTGAAGATGCTGGGGGTGCTGCCAAGCCTGGTTGTCCTGTAGAACAGTGCTGCCCTTGGTGTGACAGACGCCAGCCTGCCTGGCCAGCCTCAACTCCCAGGATTCTCCCGTCTGCCCCTGCACTCTGCTCGCTCAGGTTAAGTATCTGCTGTACCTGCGTTTCTCAGCTCTCTGCTCCTTCTCTCTTCTCCTCCTCTGTGGCTCTCATTCTCTCCAGCTCTCCCCCTTCGACCTTCCGAATTGGGCTTCACTTCCTAGGATTCGCTCCCCAAACAGACTGTAAAAATGATCGTTAGATAAAACGCAACAAGCCAGACACTTTGTTGGGTGCTCTGCCTGTCTTGTCTCATCTTATCCTGTTCTACAATCTAGATTAGCCTCGTTACTATTGGTATCATCAGCATGATTGTGTCTGCCAGTTTTCAGGGAAGGACAGTGAGGCTCAGAGAGGCTGCGGCAACGTGTCCGGAGCACCAGCAAGCGGGTCACGTGTTCTAGTATATTACCGACGCCTGTGGCACTGAATGGAGGAATGAGTGAAACCTCTCCAGGAGGCTGTTCCTGCGGGCAGAATTAATCACACCCTCCTTTGCTTTCAAGTCTCCACCTTAACACGTTCCACCTCATAACACTGGAGCTCGATTTCCATATAACCTGCACTGTTGGGCACTGCTGTGCCTTCACCGTCTAGCGCTCCTTCGCCGGGACAAGGTCAGGCTTGCACAGACCAGGTGTCCTCCAACTCTGGCACAGCCGACAGCAGCGGCTGCTGGACAGGCCTGGGAGTCCATGGGCAAGGGGGGCAGGAGGGTGTGGGCAGCCCCCACCGTGAAGAAGCACAGCCTTGCCCCCCAGGTGAAGGGCTCCAAGAGCTCACCGGCTCACTTAGAACCACTGTCCAAGATAGGGTCCCCCGCCAGCCTCCCGTCCTGTGCCTCGCCCATCTCAGCTTCAACCACAGTGGGAAGTGAGGCTGCAGAGGTTATGCGGAAATGGGATTATGGGGTGCAGGCAGGCAGCTGGGCATGAAATGGAGAGAGGACACAGTAGTCTTCTGGAGCGCCTAGAGTCTGAGCCGGTTGTGTGGTGGAAGCACTGAGTCCCCTCAGGACAAGATCTAGTGGGTGTAAATATCAGGTGTCACTGTCACTGGTCTTATCTGCAATTCAATGGGAACTATAATGGGGCATAAGGACTTCCCTGGTGGCTCAGATGGTAGAGAATCTGTCTGCAATGTGGGAGACCTGGGTTCAATCCCTGGGTCGGGAAGATCCCCTGGAGAAGGAAATGGCAACCCACTCTAGTATTCTTGCCTGGAGAATCCTATGGACAGAGGAGCCTGACAGGCTACAGTCCATGGGGTTGGAAAGAGTCAGACATGACTGATTGACTAAAACTTATCACTTTTTGTAAGGGAGTTTAAGAGGGCGGCCTAGCTTTGGCTAAACTCCCTCCAGGAACAGCTACTGACAGCCCAGGTCCAAAGCTGTCTGCTGACCTCAGGGTCGGTGAGGTGCAGCTTCTCAGGGACACACGGAAGGAGGAAGGAGTTACATGAAGGGGTTTTGTAGCTATCTGAGAAGAGAACGCCTTTCTGCTTTGAGATGTTCAGTTTTCACATATACTTTCTGCTCCAAGGACCCCCTCTGTTTGTCTCCACTTCCCCATCCCAGGTGGAAAACTCCAGACTGGAGGGGCGCAGCCACACATTTCTCTCCTGCTGGTTCCCTTTCCTCTGCAAATTGCAAGAGGGTTGTTTTACAAAATTTAAATGTATGTATATTAATTGCCTGTCACAATAAGCAAGTGTCACTGCTAAAATAGACTAATTCTGATCAAACACTTTGGCTAGCCTCCTGGCTTTCAAAAGGATTTTGGAGGCAGAGTCCAAACTCCACCTTGCTGGGACGTGATAAAGCACACACGGGCTCTGTGTGGAAGGCATGAAGGCATCCGAGGTCACACAGAACCCTGCCACCACCCATCCGTGTTAACATCCACCCCCACCTCCTTTCTTTCTTCAACCGAACGTCTGTGAGGAAGGCAAGGTGATTTAAACCCAACGCTAAAGTTCAACAGTTAAGATGTCTCTTATAAGACAGACGCTGCTGTTCACATACCCATCAGAGAGAAGATTGCAGTGCTGCTAAAGATTAATTTAAAATAGAGAAACCAGGAAATCTGATATTGATGACTAGCAGATGGAGTAATTCAAAACCAAGACAAGTGATCATTTCAAATGTATAGTTATGTTTAATCTCAATAATTATAACTGCAATGTCCTTAAACACATACTTGGTTTCCTTCAGAAGAAGAGAAAACAAAATTGATTTACAGAGCACTTTCACATAAAATTTTTCACTTATTCCTCACAATACTGCTTTGCTTTAGAAAGCTCCACCCCTTTTTACATAAGAGGACACTAGATGATCATTTGACTACCTAGCTAATAAACAGACTATTAAATAACATAAACAGTAATTTAGGGCAAGGGATCTGGAACCGAAGAGGAATGTACTCAAAT